CCCTTACCCCCACCCCCACAGCCTACCTGCTGTGCATGGAGGGCAGCCTCACGGCCAACGGCCAGCGGCTCGAGACCCGCGACGCCGCGCACATCATCGGCGACGACGCGCAGCCGACGCTGCTGGACGTCCGCGCGTTGGAGGAGGGCGCCCACTTCATGATCATTGAGATGCAGAAGAGCAGCTGACGGGGCAGGATCAAGGCCCTGGTCTTTGCGTGCCTCTCGTGATGTCATCTGGTTTTGTGGGCACCCTGTTCCTGTCTCGAAACTTCCTGCGCATCGGTTGATGTTCTTGCGCCTGGTCAACTGCGGGCTGCAGGACGGTCTCACCACCAAAGCTTACCCTGCTGCTGCCACTGCTTCCTCTTCCTCATTGTACAAAACAAGGACTGTCTGATACCCTCAATTGTGTGACCCTGTGCTTGTCCATGTTTTGGGCCACCCACATGGCGGCAGCCAGAGCTTCATATGTAACAACGGAAGCTTCACATGTGACAACATGATATTCTGGCCTGGCAGCTCGTCATGTTGGTGCGCAGCAGGGGCTGCCTTGAAGAAACATTGGTTAGCATCCTGCTGTGTAGATTTCAAAAGTTGTCATGAGAGTCGTTTTCTTAGATGTAAGTCGCCGCAGGAAGCCATGTCAACTGACAGGTTGACTGTAGTGTTACAAAAGCAATCTGTGCAGGTACAGGCGGGTTGATGGGTCGCAATTGCCAAAGAAGCCTGTGCAGGCTGCTGGCTGGTGAAGGCCGCGCATGGGGGGCAGAGCAGCTAGTCTATTGCAATTGAGAGGGCGTAGGGGCCTGGCGGAGCAGCGCCGCAGGCAGTGCAGCTGCTGTGCTGTGCTGCAGCTGGGGAGCTGGTACATTCTTGGCGCAGCCAGGGGGGTCAAGGACAGGGGGTCGCGACTACGCCCACTAAGAACAAGCAGAGAGTATTCAAGCACCAGCGGAGGCGCCGGCGCTGTCACTGGCACGCACACAACTAGCTGTGCAAGGCGCCTGCCGGCTCAACGCTTCTACTCATCACGAACCAGCTAGCAGCCAGCAGCCCATCCCCAGCTCCAAAGGCGTCAGGCAACCACACAGCGTTGGCAGGCCCAACACGCCTGCAATCTGAGGCACACCCGCGTACACGGCCCGCGTGGCACGCGCTCCGGCCTCGCTCTCTCGACCGCACTCGTGGGGAGGCGGCGGCGACGGCTCAGAGCGCGCGCCGCAGCGCGGCCAGGAACTCGGGCCCCAGGTGCGCCACCTGTACCTCCCCGCTGGTGGCCGCGTCGACGTCGAGCAGCGACTCCGCCTGCCGCAGCTTGGCGTACCCCTTGGCGGTCACAAACGGCCGCAGCAGCGCCAGCGTCGCGCGCGCGCCGAGCGACGGCGCGACCGCGACCACGTGCTTCACGTTCTTGCGCAGCGGCCGCGGCAGCGACTGCAGCGCGCGCACGCACCACGCGCCGGGCAGCGGCCCGGCGCGGCGCGGCGCGCCGGGCCGCGGCGGCAGCGACGCGAGGACGAGCACGTACGGCCCGCGGGCGGCGAGGAACAGCAGGCGGCGGACGAGGAATGTCAGCGCGGCGTCGCGCGCGGGCGCGGCGCCCGACGGCAGCGCCTCGGGGTCGACGACGGCGACGGGGCGGCCGTGGCTGTCGCGACCGCCGAGGTACAGCAGCCCGCCGTACTGCGCCGCCTCGGCGGCCTCCCAGGTTGGCGGCAGGTCTGGGGTGCGCTCCACGATCACGAGCTCGGGCTCAGAGTCCCCTGAGCCTGCGCGGTCGGCGCGGCCGCCGGGCGGCCGAGGGCTTGGCGGCACGGAGGCGGGCGCCGCGGCCC